GCAACAATGACCAGAATGCAGCCATGTCCATCAAAACGCGTCCAAAGACGTCAACCGCGGCTACGGTAAACAACAATTTTTCTTGTAATCTTCTTATCAATGTTCAAATCGTATCGGCAGTCTGCCTACATCTTGTTTGGCCAAGTAACAGCTACTAACGAGCCATATACTGTTCAAATTAACGGCGTGAATCCAGCCAGACAAGTTCGTTTTGCGCGSYGAATCTGAAAACTCTTCACAGCCACGTATACATTAGGAACAGTACACCCAGTATACTATAGTGTGAAAGCCGCTCTCCAGGACATATACTAGAGAGATCTCTGATAACTCGATCAAGTTCATGTAAGAGGAGAAATTAAAGTAGTGTTAGTAATCGTAGTGTGGAAAGCGGTCACGACGTTCTAGGCTTGTGAAGAGAGGTGGAGCGTTGTTCTCCGGAGTAAGTGCCCTCTTAAGAAAATAGGCGCCAAAACAGAACTGATCCGTGTCATGATATAGTGTATGGCAGTAGGAGTAACGTTTTGCGCAAATAGTCTCGGTAAGAGTTTCAGAAGGGTTTATTAACTATCTAGTGAAATAGTACGACTGATTCTCAATATGGTTTATTCGTTTCCAATATTGACGCCCCACCAAAACACAGTCCACAATCTCGGTTCGGTAGGCGCTTTAGAAAGCAAATAATAGCAATGCGGTTTGTAGTATTTCATAGGGTTTAGAGTTACTCATTTGTGGTTTGTGTTCTTGCACGAAAGGGTTCAACAACGGCCGCCATTACTATTGAAACAGCGGACTATTTTTTTCATTGTTGTTGTTGYTGGAAAAAGACCCCCAGAAAATATTTTGAGTCTTTTAATCATGTTTACATGACCATGCCCCGCCTGTTTTTAAAACTCCAACCGAACTAAAACGTCTTTATGGAATCGAGTGATTATTATCAAGCAAAATGGTATTGTTTATATATTTTGCATCGGCAGTCTTTGAGACCTCTTACAAGTATATAAGCCATCCTCGAGCCAAGGGTCTCGTGAGGTCTAGAATGTGAAGGATTACGACGAATCCTSTACTCACTGCCTTTACACATCAAGATAAAATGCATTGTGATATAGGAATCCCGCACACTAACACATATCGAGACATATGATGTGACTAAATCAGTTGAGGGTTTATAGAGTTGCGCCAGCACGCAATATACGACAAGCTTTCCCATCTCATCTAGCGTCTCTCTGTCGCAAGCCGCACAAACACCTCGGACTGTTGTTACTCCAAAAACTGACCCCGCTTTTTTCTAAGTACGACTATGTGGATGAATAGTCCTCGGTATTGTATGTTTATGTGCTATACTATAAGCCATAGTTCACATAAGTACACATATCACTACTAGTTTTATTTTGTTTGTATATTTGCTTAACAGTTTCACAGGCGAATATACTAAAGTATTATAAGGCTAATCACGTAGCCCGCTGCAAATCATGGACCTTTATATCGTCACTTGGTCATGATAGGGGCCTTTCATCGCTTTTTGTCGATCTACTTTGACTCGATACCCGCTTTTGAGAGTGCTTCGATCGTTTATTGACATTGTGAGTGAAGTACAAGTCGTTGTGATCGGAAAACTGTGATATTTCACCCTATACGCTGGGCAAATACCAGCTTTAGGCCTACCTGCAAGACCCACTACACACACAACGATTTATCCTTAAAAAATGACAAGTACACTTGTACACGACTTTCGCAGCGAGACCTCTATTTCCGATCAGCCCTCATTAGTCTAGTAATCTTGCGATATTTCTTTTCGTATCATCAGACTTGGTCAGCTCGTCTCTTTTAAGATTCAATCATTCTCAACACTGATAGATTACAACCGAGCCCGAGATATCATTTGCTAGTGTGTTTATTAAATCGCCTCACTTTTAATATGGAATTAGTACATTCAATTATTAAGAAGCCATTTAGTTTCGGCAAGAAAATCAGTTAARATCTTGTTCATTTTGTCAGGGATCGGTAGACTTTGCACAATCACCAATGAATTATTAATGGTGAAAGAAGGCGATAGCTTGCTATTGAATTGAACTTCATACGGGGTTAGATTAACAAACTCAGTCACTAAGTGATTCGAAGTAAAACATTGGAACTCCTTTATCGCATGGACTCGTTGTTTTTCTAGTAGGACGTTCGGTCGTAAACAAAAAATGCTTTTGAAMCCTTTTTTTTAGAACTGAACCGCGGTTTGCAGCTAAAAAAAACGACTGGGGGGAAATAAAGCGCTCGAAAATTCCTGATCTCATTGTAGCGATTTGTCATTAGGAAACGGTAGATTGCAATAAAAGAATTAAAGAAAAACTTCCCGAGCGCAGCATTTAAAACCAAATTGCTACAGGATCTGAAGACGGCATTAAGAGAGAATTTCTCCCACCAATGAATCAATTTCCTCCGTGATGGTAATGGATAGCAGGACGAATAATGGAATCTGAAAGTCATCTACAAGAGTCCATCGTGTCAATGAGCAACTTTAAGAGTCAAAGTAACCTGAAACTAGTCCACCGAGCACGATTAGCACTGCAAAACTCGACAAGCAGCGCATTAAACTAAAAGAGGCTCAGTACTAGAGAGTAAGGGCCATCAAGAGTTATGACGCATTAGTAACACCGAAAACAATGGCATGTTTTTCTTTTTCCTTTTCTGACATGGCGGGACAAAGATATCTTGATTGTCATTAGGCCGAGAGCTTTTAACAGACCATAAATACATAGATATGATATGATTTTGTTTCAACTCATCCCGTTTTCTTTACAATTCATAAAATCAATCAATTAATTTAAACGATGGAAATCATAACAAGCGATATGGAAGGATCGTATAGTTTTTCGTATAAGACCAGCAACAAAACACTCCTAAGATAGCAAAAAAACTCTTAGAAAATCGCTGGTAAAGTCCGAGTCTCCTCTCAGGTCATCAGTGTAATTGATAGCCTTTCCAGACCAGGTTTAGTGTGACGTGTTGAAAAACACGAGAATATTTCCATAACATTTCTTCCCGCGAAAAAAACTCTTACCCACGGATCGTTTTTATTAATCAATTTATCAATTCCCGAACATAGAGTACTTGTTTTTCATCCTACTCTAAGCGTAGCCTTTCTAACCTTTTAACTGGCATGGAAAAACACGCACGAAAAGGGCAGAAGGAAATGACACGAAAGCTGGACCCCCCAGGCTAACCCATACAATTGCACAGAATATGCACGATTCTAGAGTAGCTACTTCACTGGATTTGTTCTTAGACGAATATTTGGAGTGTGTTTGTTTGTCGGCTTTTTTTCCTCATCTCAAAACAAGCAAACATTAATGTCCCCTCACAAAGAAACATCATACAGCCTGATTTTGTTGTCATTAAGATTTCTAAAGGGCAGAGGTTTTTGATTTCATTGAAAAATGCATAATAACTTGAGCATGTCAGTAATGTCTTGGCTTGACTAGTGTGTGTTGTCATCAAGTCAGAAAAATTGGTGAAAGCCGGACCTCCCGACCTATTAGAATGGGCCCGGAATTTCTTTTCCTCTTTAGATTAACAGATTTTCAATTTAGAGATTTGTAGTCTTTTGTGCGGAACCCCGTAAATAAACACCAAGCTCTGAAACATCCAACATACCTGCCCAATTCCCTATAAAATCAATAATTACGATTCAATCACGATTAGAGCTTATAAAAACAAGATATGAGTTTTCCTTTCAAAATTGGACAAGAAGGCCCTTGACAAATAGCTCAAGATGAAATGACCGGCTCACATGTCATCGACAAGGCGTTGGCATATTTTCTTATAATTTCATATTCAGTTCCTGTTGAAACAAGTGTTACAAATACATCGCCTATAAGCCATGCGTTCGGGTTCATCTAGTCGGATACTCGACGGCTTTCGCCTGTCTTATCTATAATACTGATAAATGTAATTCACTAAAGACAGATGTCTTCGCCTAGCTCAAGTACCTTTCACAAGTTTATTGCTTCAAAGATGTCATGTATAAAAACACCGCTCTAAAGAAATTCCTTCATCTACTGCGTCCATTATATGATCCGTCTTTTCTCAAGTATTCTCAGTAGAACTGAGAAGTGCTTGTATCCCCATAAACCCTTTTCTATCTCAAAGTCAAAGCATAAAGCAAATAACACAGGGATTAAAGTTTGAAGTCCAAATTTGGTTAAAAGGGCCTCGGAGCATTTTGCCCCTATCTTGCACGTCTTTTTGCTCGTGATATGGCTACTTAGGGTAACCCCAAAAATGAAAATTCATTACTTCAATCAACCGTAATGTCGTCTACTCTATTAACATTTCCTTGAGAGTTTTACATGTTCATGCCACAAAAATAGCTGAAGGGTTTATTGACAAATTCGGCCAGGTTTTGGATATGACTCTAGAAACTGTTCCGGGAGYTTAGTCATATAATCAATCCCTTTCAATTCGTAAAGTTGTAGAGAGGCATTGGCTAAGTAAATTACTCCTTTGGTATTAAGAAACTTGAAACTCTTGTTTGAAGGGGATTAACATCACTTTTAGAAAGAAGATTTTTGTTCAGTTGCTCACTTGAAATGGATCAACAATTTTCAATTCTCATTGAGCTGAAATTGAATAAAATAAGTTCTTTTCAGTTGTATCAAACATCAGAAGTCTGYCATTACCAAAATATAGGAATTAGTCGATGAAAGTTAAAATATAATGAAAATGACCAAATTTCTGGTATTGTTTGTGAAGCGATGCTTCATCACTCTAAAACCATTCCATTGGTCACAAGTACCTGTGCTACTATCTTGATTGAAAACCTGCATCCAATAGATTTGCTATCCCTCATTGAAGCGAAGACGTTAGTCTATAAAGCAGTCAGTGAACACTATTGAAATCCTAAAATTGATTTGAAAAGCAATCATAATTGTCAGTTGTTGAAGTTTAGACGAGGTGTTTTTCCATCGCTAAATGAGATCTACAACTAGATATCCCCCAGCCCACAACTCTTGTTTTAACAACATAAATATACTTTATTCGCTCTAGTTTATAGTATTAAAACATCACTCTTTTAGTATTTACATTTTTCGTATGTATGAACAAATTTCTAGCACTTCAGATGATTCGACGATGTCAAAAAGCATTTGTCTCGAACATGGTCTAACTTGAAATGTCTACATATATCTATAAGGATGTGCTTTGCTTGCTTATTCAATCGGATACTAGTTTAATGTGGAATTGTAAGGTGTTAGAACAACAAATGCTAATAACTTTTAAAAAATATAAGCGATTAACACTTTCGGAGAAAGGATCTGGTACATGCTAAGCCACAAGTTCCCGTGTCTTATTATTAATGAGAGCAGAGCTATACGTGGTGTTTTAGTGAAGGCACACAAGCAAAAATCTTCGTCGAATTCACGTTGTGGCATTCTTCAATCCAACCACAAGCAAGTTGAGTTTAAAGACAAAGGAACACAAAGACCTAATTTAAGCTTTTGTGTCACTACACCCGACATAGTGTACATAAAGACTAGCTGGGGAAGAAGCAGTTTCATTCAGCCATTGTTGCACGATTGATTTGACAATGAATGGCAACAGAGTCATTCTATTGTTCATGTGAGYTAGTTTGCTGCCCATCCAGTCCGTTAATCTCAAAACCAAACGAAACATGAATCAATTTCCCTAAGATCAATCCTTTGAACTATAGGTCCCTCCTACACTCTTCTAACGAGCAAACACTCCAGCTATCAATTAGGCTTCAGAATGTACAATTGCGTTCATATCCAAAGAGCGCGCTTCGGATTACCGTACGACCTACCTCAGAAAGGATGATTTTCAATCTCTTTAAAGCGTTTTTAAGGTTTCGGTGTTCCTTTGTGCAAACGTATCTCAACAAGCTTGAAGAAAATCTGATTTGAAGTACAAAAAACCTGAGCAATGTGTTGTTTGCTAAACTGGTCCCTTTGTTAGACACATCTTCGTTTTTGTGGTTATATCTCTCATGTCAAAAGATCACCCTGATCATTCACATGGTGTATGTTCAAAACATAAGTTTACTCTTTATAACTTAAGCCTATATGTATATATATATTTCTTTTTGAATGAGTTTAGCTGTCAAGATTTTTATATTTGTGAATGATCGTATGTACAAATAGTCGTTAAGGGGAGGCAGGCCAAGAGATGAGAGGCGGCCTTTTGGTATCAGACTCTGATCTAGTCCTAGAATTCAATCAACACTGCAAGAGATCGGCTCTCATAATTCGACGAGAGCTTTTCACTTGGCTCGACTCAATAGATAGTCCTTCGCTYTAAATTGACCTGCCTCTCCAAAACGAAAGAATTTGGAAAAAAATTCGCCAATGATACGAATACTACAATGTCAATGAAACAAATTCATTATATAAACGCGATGCAAATGTCTGTGAAGTGCGTGAGGCCTTATCATATGAAGCGGTGAAAGCAATTTCATTCACCGGTTGTGATAGCCGAAATACTTGGAATCTCGTTTCAAAATTCGGTAAAATAATTGTCAGTGAATTCAATGTCAGTATTGTATTCCTTTGGATTGACGAAGGCTTAAAATCRGCGAGATAGCATATAATGTTCTCCCATAAAAAGCCAAAATGTACGCTCAATACTTTGACGAGATGCACGTAATACTGTAGATTGGATCTTAACAAGTCGAGAGTTCATCACACCAGTTTCCTCGCGTAATTAAAGTTTTTTTCCTCGAGTAGGATATTTCCCTGCTACCAAGTCCAATAGGGATGCGCTGCCATGTAATTCGTGCTTACCGGTGGATAATGAAGAAAATCGGCTGCAGCGTGATGGTAGCTAAAGTTATTCAAGCCCGCTCCATGACAGGGCTGACCATCACGGACAAGAACAGGCACGGGGACAGTACGAGGAGTGAACAACGGAGGAGGTTCATTCAACGAGCCTTTCTCGTAATTTTGCTTTTTAAACTTGTACCGATGATTTTGAAACCATATCTTTACTTGTGTTGGYGTAAGGTTTATAATTCTCGCTAGTTGTTCCCTTTCAGGGGCCGACAAATACCTTTGCTGTCTGAATCTTCTTTCCAATTCATACGTCTGTGCTTTGGTGAATAGTACTCTTCGTTTCCGTTTCTTAGGAGGATCGCTTCCCTCGTCTCTCTTTTCATCATTGGATTCATTGTGTTGATCGCTTGACGCAGGGCTTATAGGGTCCTCGTTGACTATGTCTTGTGAATCTGGAAGGAAAACAACACATTATTTGACAGAAAAAAACCCGCAAAAGGTCTCATTAACGACGTCTTGCATGCAAAATCACAAATTCTGAGTTCCGCTTAGAACAAAACAACACAAGTTCTTCTTTAATCTCATCTTGTTTCGCGCTTAACTGAGTCCAACCTATCTTTTCCGCAGTTAACGTCAAGTTTCGCGACCCAATTAATTGACAAAATGTTTCAGCGCAACTTTAAAAAGGTACTTGCAGCATCTCGAGATTGTAAACTAGCCACCGGAATAGTTGCTCTACCGTCCCCCTAATACGATTGACTAGTCCTCCAGAAATTGTCATTTAGCAAACAATATTGAATTTGAGTAGCAGTACGATTCACCAGCAGCCATGTCGTACTACACTTCAAACCACGGTTGCTTTTATTACGATCAAAGATACAAAATCAAGACTTTCTTACTTGTATATGAGGACTTCTGTGTGTGATTAGACGCCACGCCACAAGCCTCCGATCTGTTATCGTCGCCACATTTTTCAAAGTTTACCGATAGTTCTGGCGTCGACTCGCTTCTTGATGCGCGTGCTGCGGACTCACTCAGATTAAGGATGTCCTTCACAGAGAACGAAGTCATGGCTTGCTACTTTAGCCTTGTGTACACGGTCTCAAATGATTTCCATTATCAGGCCWACAACGGTCATGCTCAGAGGGCCACGACACCTTTGCTGACGTCAGGGTGTGTYGAGCCACTCAAGTCGTGAACAAGATGTTTGACACAAAACAAAGGTTTGCCAAATTCTGCTAAGTCAACTGCTCTTGATAGGATAAGGTGGTGACGGGATTGACAACGCTATTAATTAGAATGATAACTACTGAATGGTATGTCACATCTAAGCCTGTAAGCTTCTAAGCTGACAGCAGCGATAGAAAAGACTTCAAATGACAGCTCTATGCGTTGGCTGTTCAAACTGTTTCATATTAGGGTTCACCTACTTCACATTCTTAAAGTGAATACTACAGTGATTACGACCAGCTTTGGAGACACACACACAATATCAATAAAAACCATTTGTATCTTTAGTACAAGTTTAATTTGCCCATTTTCACGGCCAATCGAGGTTCGAATGGGATTCAGATTGGCCAACAAGACCTCTTTATAGACTTCGTTTAAGATCAAATCTTTATCTAGCGAACGGACGCAAAACGCATGTCTAAAATCCCCACTGTCTTTGGATCAATTCCCCCAGATGGTGAGGATTCTTATTAAATGGGATAAAGTTGGATACTCATGTAAACTGGCAATTATAGACAAATAAAAACGCTTTGGAGTTCAGTTTACTTCGTAAAGCCACTCAAAAATGTCTCATCCGAGCAAGGTGGTCTGTTTCGCTTGAGCACATTGTCGGTACGCATGTCGGCAGCGTTTTCTTAGCTTGTTCACAAAATATTTATTGCTCAATGATTTCATCCATTTCGTACGWATGAGTGACTTTTCCATTTTGATATTAATGGATCCTGAAWCGGTYTCAAGAACATGTCGTCAGGTATGTCAAGTTGCATGGACATGAGAATCTCATTTGTTTACAGTGTGATTTGGTCCATAGCTCTGCACAAGGCAYGTATGACAGTAAGTGCCTTAAGAATGAGAACGGCTTGATAGCAAGGGTGTGTTAATAGTACTTGAAATCGTTAATCTACAGCTCAACAGCCCGTCGAATCGGACTTAAAATTCCATTCTCTATGTATAAGAAGCCGCAAAATTACCCCATTCAATTAATGTCTTTTAAGGRAAAATAAAGAAGGTGCGATTTCTAAAGGCAGGACACCAAAAGGTCTGTGGATTAATTGTTTAATCAATATTTCAAAGGCTTGAGGGAAAAAGGTCTAAAAAGGAACATGTAGCGATTACGTGGGAAAGCTGTTTGTCCAACAACCAGGCGATTAGCACAAAATGTTTGCCTGTGTCATCAAATGATTGACAGGYTGCCAATCAAACCATTAACCGTGRATATATTCTAATTCCTAGTGGTGAAACCATAGGGTCAACATCTTRTCTGTTCTACAATGGGAGGCACAAATAGATGTCTGGMTCTCCATTGAATTGTACCATGRAAAAAGCCAAAAGTTTCAATTAACAGACCATCGTCTTATCCATTTCTATTTAAGTGCGATCACCAATAAATACTGATTCATAAAAAATGATGTGCTCGTTGTTGTCCATATGTATTCTGTCGAAACTGTAGACCTCAATTGAAGCCATACACACGCTCACCGTAACAACAATCAACGTACTCAAAARTGCGCTCTTTAGTACAGGGTATCACATAGCCCATAAGAAAACATCAAGAGTAAGGTGAAAGGATCTCAAGTGACGGCCAGTACACCATCAAGTGCCTACCATAATAACTATTAGAAATTCTTTATTTTAGCGCCAAAACAACAACAGATTAACCTAAATAACCAAGTGTTTGACTTTGGATTTGTCTATGAAATCGGGGAGTAATTGTTTTCATTATGGGAAAGTGCATCGTTCAACATGTTGTAAAGGTGTATTATTTCTTATAAGGTTGCATTTAGTTTCAAAGCCACTCGAACCCAACAGAAACCTAACAGCTGGTTGGGACTTCTACAACATTACATTAGCTCGCCYAAATGAACTGCCTCGCTCATTAATTCTTGATGAGCTGCCCTCTTTCTTTTTTATTCCATGGAGTTTTGGTGTCCAAAACCGCTCTTGAGGCAGTTGTAATTTACATATTAACAAAGTCATGGTTTTTGGCGAGATGTGCATTTGATTCAAACCAACAATGTTTATTCATAATATATTAAAATAAAGTAGAGTGGGTAGGGGTAAAAAAAGCGAAAAAAGGCAAGAGAAATCAAGACGAATTTTGTGTGTCAGTCACCGAGGGCTTGACTAGCGATTAAATTAACAAAACAACAAGATAACTCATGGTTTATTTGAACTGCTGAGGTATCCTTTTATTATTATAGTTGGCCGTCCTTCTCAATTCAAACATCTTAATTTTTTGATATCTTCGCGCGATTTAATTCACGACGACTTGATACGGAAGCAAAAAAAAATACRAAACAGAAAGTGAACGAAATTKCCYGATATTTGTGGTTGATTGTGTTTGCCAAGGGACTCGTTGCAGTCACACTACGATTAAGCAAACCCTTGAATGATAGTTGAATCTTGATTAAACCCATATAGGGGTTTATGTTTGCAAAGAGTAAAAATCTTGAATAGGCCGGCTACTTATGCTAATTTATTGAACATTTGCCGTCTCGCGATCTATGAGAAGTTCTTATTCGTATCATATTACATTACAACGGAATATCATTAAACGGGAACAGAATCTACAATCGATGTTATCTTTTGATTTACTCGACGYTGACAMCATCGCACGCCGGAATGTAATWTGTTAGAAGTGAAGCCAAGCAGTCAGGTACGACAATTGGTGTTTTGACAATATCGATAGTCATAAAATTGCTTTAAAACAGGTACCAAATACAAACGATTATGCTTTTTAATCGAATTTAAAATGTCTGCGGAAAGGTGAATTGTAGTTCGTTTACATAACAATGCCAGTTGGTTAAACTTTGGAAAAAGTGTCATTTCGTCTCAATGATCAGCAAAAACAACATATTGACGAAAMTAAAATCCCTGGTGATTTTGCCAACAAGTTTTCAATGGGTTAATGAAACAAAAGAGAAATTGTATTCATCAAAGAACTAAGAAAGGAGAAAAAAAAGCTATTGAATTTATTAGCGGTTGCACAATAATTCACTTGCCATAGAGACCAGGAGATATTTTTATTAGTGTTTTCATTGTAAACCAAGTCATTATTTAACCGAATAGGACACACCACTTAACATTTCGATGGCTCATGGAACATATTACAAGCCAACTCGACCTGTTTTCTTCACTTGAAATTCGTTTTATAAAATCAAACATTGGCTTTGGACTTGCGTATGCGCGCGCTTAGTAATGAAAATTATCCTATCCAAACAACTCCGTGCGTCAAAACAAAACATGTACAAGAAATAATAGACCAAAGACAAGTTTATCACAGCAAAATAATCATTTAGATATCAAAAATTCAGGTTGCCATCGTTTGAGTGTAGTTTGCACAACGATGTTGTAAAAAAACAGACAGTTTTCTAAGAAAAGATGGGTTTTATTTTCAGCGCGCATGAAGGGTTAGTTTTTATCAGTTGCCTTGTAGTTGTTAATAGCTCAATAATGGTGTTTAAGAAAGAGATTACAGCACTAAGCTGTTGAATACACATAGTACAATGAAGGTATTTCCCWAAACGGATGACCGTATTCATTCTTAATTAGATACGGTCATTGTTGTTAGGTGGTCTACCAGTTACACTGTCAAAAACCCATTCCACATTAAACAAGGACCAGTGGCAAAAAAACCGCTTCTGTTATTACCAATTTCTATTGATCTAAGAGAGCGCATTTGGAAACAACTTTCAATGCATTGTATTGTACTTGTCCAAAAAAGATCGCAACTTTTGACAAGGGTAAATATGTGCACAAGCCATGATAAACAAAAGGTTTTGTCATTCAAAAAGTCTTACGCAAATGGCTTTACTAAAGAGAGGGAATGTGTTTYAATCTCGGCAATTAAACGCTATTTCCAATACTCGTATGAATGACGTGTTTTCAACATACGTCGAGTTGATGTCCTTGTTTTCTGTACTTGTAAATGGTAAAATGCACGAGTACGTACCATAAATGACCTATTATTACACTCATCTAGTTTGGAGTCGTTGGCCCTTACCCGCTTCTGAGATGTATATCAATTTCTTAATGACTTCTGCCCAGAGCCCTTGGAAATAATAATCAAGTGTTTGGATGTTAAAATGAATCGGTTTTCGATTCACTTGGCCCTCTCCCACGACGATACTCAATGTCCCCCTCGCATCTTTATTTGACATTTTCAAGTTTTCTCTTGCGATTTAGAGCAAGGTAAATGGACGGTTTATAGTGTTAACCGCCTCGACATGTTACCCGAATACTTGATTGCTTAATAAGAGCTTGTAATTAGAAAAGGACCACGGCGTTTAACGTTTTTTTTTTTTTGGCAAACAATTTCGCAACGTTATGGTAAAGACCATAAAGGAAGGCTTTTCTSTAGACGGACAACAAGGAGAAGGCAAATTCTTTAATTACATCGCATGGTGAAAAAAAAACTCACAASGATTTCGCATGAATACCATTACTTTTTCAATCGAACAATTTGGTGMTCGTTTTAAAGGTCACTTCTCTTCGTTGGGGAGGTTGACACAACCAACGGAAACACAATTCCAAGTTTTTTCATCTCAAACGATACGAACAAATAGTAGCGAGAGAATGCACACATTATCGTTTCGTTACGTTAGCTTCCCGACTGACAGCATATCAAGAGAAAGGCGTTGAAAACCATTAGTGAAAATCGATATGTTGTTAGTCAATCAATAACATCGTAAAGTTGTGATAAACTAGTCTTTTAATGGTAAAAACTCGGAAAAGATAGATGCTGATAGCACAAGTGAGGCCGACGGAGGCGTGATAGAAGTATTCTGGGCGTGTCAGTAATTGCCATGTTTGCACTTTATGACAATGTAATAAGAAGAACAAAAGGGTTACAAAAACAGCACACTTCCTAATCCGTCAATCCAATTAAAACCAGTATCAACAAGCAACCATGTGTGATCAGAAAATGATAGAAACTTACAGCAAGTCTTGAATAAAAGAAATGCGATGTGACGTTTGTTGAGAATGTATAACTGTCAGTTCAAGATCTGTCAGCACTATTCGCCTATTATCACTTAACAAAACCCACTGTGACATCAAGCAAAATTTGTTTTTTGTGATTCTCAGGTTGTCTACATTTGAAGTGCTAGCCCCACCTACTTCGTAGAGCCAGTCTGCGCGCCCTGTAGCATTGGCGTACACTCGTCTCACATGTACAATGGCATCAATTTGAGATTCTATATTCTGAGTGAAACACACACAAAACATGAGTTCTTTTTCAATACGAGATATTCTGGATCTCCCAGAGGATACTATCCGCACACTACAAGCGATCAAATCACCAATGGAAATACCACAAGACAACCTCCAAGAAGACACAAGCGAGCTGAATGCTAAAGAGACAGACGACGACCCTCAAATCACAAACGGTAAGTATTTGCAGAGCGCTAAAAAAATCCCCCAAAGACCATGATTTTATTTCTTGTTCTCACGAATGGTTTGAGAGAGATTTGTGCATCTCAAGACCACCACTGTGTTCTGTAGATGCCACGGTTAAGAGGGCTTAACATTAAGATGCACAACACTTTCCACAGTATACTTTACGTTCAAAAGCCCTTTTGGAATCCTCAAGGAATACCGGTCGATGAGTTGAAGATGCCAGAATGGCAATTCAGTTCAATATGGCTAATTTAAAAAAAACGTTATTAAATCACCAGGGTTGTTTTTAGAATATACGGAAACGATGCTGCTAAAAATTGCCTTGTCATTACTTCGATTTTTTTGTAAACCAATAATTTGAAGATACAATAAGAGATGTCAACGATGCGGTCTCTGTAATTTCATTTTGAGTAAACTTGTTACACAGTTGGCAAAATACAGTTTGCGACCGTCAGATTTATTAGAAAATAATGTCATAATCCCTTTAATTATAGCAATTCAGAGCGAAAAACGTTTCTCTTGACACACACTTTTTTTCTCAAAATACGCCACTTGGTTGTCTTTTGTAGAAATCTCCTCGGAATCTGGCGAAACACGTTTAGGAATGGTGGAAAAATCGGACGAAACAAACCGTGAATCACACGAGCTTCCAAAGAAACGAAAACGAAGGATACTTTTCACCAAGGCGCAGACTTTTATCCTAGAAAGAAGATTTCAGCAGCAAAGATATCTCTCTGCCCCTGAACGCGAAGAACTTGCAAGAATAGCAAACTTAACACCAGCGCAAGTTAAAATATGGTTTCAAAACCATCGATATAAATTTCGAAAACAAATGAGYGARAAGGGACCKTGGGAGAAACCCTACATCTCCGGGCCATTCCTTACTGGCTCTGGACAGTACTGCAGTTGTGGAACACTAAGTTGTAGCTACCTCAGYTCRCCATATCARCCWCCAGATTATCTACACTACCCTTCAACATCTTTCTTACAGCCGGCCGCATTTTGGTGAGAACATCGAGCGYAAACGCACTCCTCACCGCAAACAACASCAATTCTTCGCATTTAGAATTGAACAACATTAATTTGAACACTTTTACCGCTTGAAAAGCAAATTGGTGTACGAATGTAAAACTTGTGAATACTGCTTATTTGTACAATATCGTATTTAGACATTTGGACATTCACATAAAATAGAAACTCTTTGTTTCCTTTCAATGAATTGTATCGGGGATATATTAAACGCAAACTAGTTAACTCAGCTGTGTCGAAGTTGAACTATAAAATTGTATTAGTTGTGTTGATATGGTGTTGAAGTCTTTTTTTCTTGTTAAAACAATGTTTCTTTAAGGATTATCATTCGTGGCTTCTCACCAAATAAAACGACGTATTTCTARATTTAAAAGGGAGAACTAATAGACGCTTTGCATTGCGCGCAACCGGCACTGATTGATTGGAGAAAAAGTTTGGGGACCAAATCCTAATACTAAAGACTCGTCATAAGCAGTCAGTCGRTGGAGCTTTTATTAAATGTTAGACCAGAAAGCATTTTTGACTTTTTTGATGTTAAATTTGAACACAAAACGAATAAACAAACTTAAAGCGTATAAAACGTTGTCACTTGGAGARAAGTTGGCAAACCGGATAATCTAGACATAAGACAATAATATATATTATAGATTACATATACCACGACGGGTTCGTCGCGGATGCGTTAAGATTTGTTGCATTCAAAAGGTGAAGGAATAGTCAACAAAGTATCATCCGTTTMTAAATTTAGTCAGTATATTGTCTTGCTAAGTTTATTTTCTCTTCCAAGAATGCTTCTCCTCGTAGCATATCTAAAAATCTCAAAAGGGTAGTTGCAAATCTTGTAGTTCGTATAGAGAAACGACAAACTTAAGGATGAAATCTTCAGTTCTAATGATATCATTTAATAAACAGCGAGCGAGTTGGCAGTGGTGAGTAGGGCGCGGACGGATTACGTTCTGAACTTGAAAACATCGTMGTGTAAAACTTAGCTAGAATAAAGCAATCCTGATTCATCGATTTTCGCTATTCTGGTGATAAAATGATGYTGGACGCAATCCGCCGTAGTTTAATTATAGCCTTGCTTTGGTATACAAACTTCCAATTTGAGTAGTTTTCTTTTATTTTTATTTTTAAAAGACGCGAGTCCACCAAGGGAACACCAGTTTTGAAGAGTTTCTAGTAATTTTGTAGGACTGTTAAGTAGTCCCATGGACTAGATAACTATCTTTGAGTGCGGTTCTTATGGATAAAAACACTTCTCAAGGTTTGGAAACTACTAGCTCAGTAAAACGAACGTCAACAATGCTTGTCCCATAAAGGAATAATCGCATCTTGTTGCCATCTGAACGAATCGCACACGGAACTGATGCAGCGCGCACTCTAAAACCTTCAACGTTTGGAACCGATGAAAAGATATTTCAAAGTCTTTCAATTGTATTTAGTTTACTGACAAAGCAAATTCARAGAGCCCGTGGAGACATCTCATTCACAACTGYTTGGGCCCGCTTACAAGACGCATTTCAAAGGAACATGGGTAGCAGTTCTTATCTCCACGAATCAAATCACTTCTACAAAGGTGTCTTTTTCTTTGTTTGAAAGGTTGTATTTTCAATATAAACAGCACAAGCAGACACACACGAGGTACAAAAACAAACCCTGTCGGCTTGGAGATGTTGTGGAAAACTTTCCTGAGATTTTTATTGAACGTCAAACAGGAATAATAGTTAACAATCAATATTCCAATATGGTGTCACATCGTAACTGACAGGTCAGAACAATCCGCTAAATAGAGCTGAACATAGGAAATGCCAAATTAAACAACGATTGGTTCAMAGTCTGACCAACGGACTGAGAGATGTTCGAACTGCCCGTCAAGGATTTTTTCGAGGTTTATTAAGGTATCCTTGGAGTTGGGACTTCATTGGCACTTTGGCGGGAATTGAGTCGATTTGCACGGCGCGTGGCTGTTGGTTTATGAAAGAGGCTGTTGTAACTCAACGAATCGAAGAAGGACTTTGTGTGTTTATAATGTCAGCTTTGTGTAACCAACAATAGCTTAATAACACTAGGTTTAATTAAAAATTGCCGTTTACTGTGCAAAGATATTTGGAGATCAAACTGGGRAGATGACATCTYCTATTGTTTCTGCTTCTCTGTGGCTTCAGGTGAAGCCAACATCAAAATTTTGAGAATGAAGAAAGCAAGGTCATTTCGGTTGAGCTTGTTCAGAGATAAGTCTATCAGTTAACAAACTTTTATAGCCAAAAGATGATATCGTAAGGGCGATAATTATGGGCGAGGAAGTTGTTAGCAGGAGTTTTGGTATATCTTTGCTATAATTCAAAATGACACTTCCGAAATGATATCATCACATTTCCTTTATTGGGAAAGCTATTATAAAAATCCAACCATATTTGCGCTCTGACATTGAACGATAGTCAAAAAGGGTTTCATTTTATTTCTCCCTTTGTACGAACGTTTTGTAAGTACAAAAACTTCGATAACAAAGAATGTACGATTTGAATCAAAATGCTAATCACAATTTAATAGCAYGAACCGTCAATGATCCCATCCAATTTCCTTGAAAAACTTGAAAACCAGTGTTTATTCCCAAGACATATTTGAATATCTGCTGTATTGTGAAATTCCCATCGGAGGAAATGAAGATTGCCAAAGTTATTCATTCATCTRGCGAGTATTTTAGCCCACAAATAYAGATTAACAGAAAACTGATTAACGGCGACTTGCCATTTCGATGTGAAACACGCAAGGTCCTCAGCCTTAATTTTACTTTAAACAAGTTAAATTCTCTACAATTTGGATATTCTTATTATAATTAAATAACAAAGAAGTCTAAAGGATCTCAGGGTTGGTATATATTTAGAAACAAAACACAAAATAAACAAGACAAACAAGACTACRAAAGCTTGATGTAATACAAAATTCACTATTATTACTATCATTGAAAAAGGCTTAAAACTACATTTACAACAGGGAAAACAAAATACAAGAGAAAAGGACTAAAATGTTTATGAAAGCAAATCGGTATTCCGAAGTAAAGGGAATTGTTAACAACATTAATATAGCTTCTGGCCGAGAAAATTAGAAGAAAAAAATTGTTTTTTTTTTAAGTAATTAACATGCGACAGAAAGCCAATCCAAAGTTGTTTCTTTAATCAAAATTGCTATTCTGTGCTTTCTTCTGCAAAGAACAAGTTCCAAAATACTTGAAATTATATTCAATTTCGGTTTTTATGACAGTTGCAGCGTTTGCCATGAGAACAACCTGAAAAAATCAAAACTAACAAAAATGTCACCGCAAGAAAGCGACATCTTGACGAACTCTCATGCTTGTATCGGCGAGGATTCGATCGGAACTAAGCAAAAGACTMGATCATRCCCGCAAGTMAAAAAGCGAATTCGTCACTTAGTAACGTCTCTTAAATCACTYCKCATGTCGCGGTCAGGTACATTTGATTATTTTGAGTAGAAATCTTTAAATAACTTGATTYTGTTCTCGTTACAACATTTTGTCAATAAATATGCAAGCAGCTTGAGGGTCGTTCAAGTACGACTGGATCGATAGAGTTAAAATACCATTCAGACATAAAGCGACGGATTTAGTTCAAATCTCTCAAGGTATAAATAAAATAGGCAGCCTTCTATATCTAAAAATCTTGAGTAGAGGCCAGCCTCTTGCAACTGTGCAATGCAAGAATACAAATCGCCTCCCTAGAGGTCATTTTCGCGAGTGATTGTGTCTTAGTTTGCTTTAGGCTCGTGTTCAATATTTCTTAATCAAAGTTAGTGTAATCCCAAAGGTAAATGTACTGACCAGCATGATTAGATTTTGTTGGGGAAGAAATATTAACAACGGGAACACAGTAATCGAGAGAAATTACTTTGAAACGAGGAAATTGATGCTCTAATTTCACAAAGGGGAGCCCTAGAAGTTTTCGTACCAAAATCACAACATTTAGCATTGATTATGGAAAAGCCGGATAAAATCTGTGTCTTAATTACCGCAATAGCAGAGCGACACGATAACAACGAAAGAAACTCGCTCCACAGATAAGCAAAACTGTGCGAAGGGACAGTCACTCTAGTCTAGCAGATAACCAAGCCGATCAGTGCATTAAATGAAAACTAAATGAAAAAAAATAGGACCTCTGGATATTATGCAAGACACCGTCAAACGTTTAATTATAATTATTTTGATTCAAGCCTTTCGGGCTTAAGCGCCCATCTTCAGGGAAGATAACAACATCGTGTTGTAAATTATTTTGAACGTCATTATAAAATGGCACTAGATTTGCGCGCGCAATCATACAATGAAACGAAAACCAACAAAAAACAAATCGTTAACTAGKTCGTCAGTTTTCAAATTCATTTAAGTGTTCGTGGCCAGGAATTTTTTATAGGTCTTATAGGACTGTTGTAAAGCAAATTACTAAATATAAAATTGAGATTAACRACATAATAACGACTAGATAGCTCGATATTCTTGTGAATTTTAGATGTTAAACACACAAATACAAATTGTCCAGCCCTAAAACATTTTTTTTCAAATCATCACTTGTAAACTGCGACTAAATCTACCGCGCTCGAGGATAGTCAGTGCGCACACTCCACGCAGCCATGCGTCAACACTACTATTAATCACTGTTACATAGCTGTGCAAGACAGGGTATTAAGGGACTATGTGGATTTCCTCTCAAACATCCGTCAATGAATCCAGTTTTAAGACAAGAATGTCAAAGATCCTGTGGGACGTTATTGTTTGGGGGCTCAGCTGACCACAGTTTGAAGTGATCCTTGATGTTTGAGGATAGTRTGTCATTACGACTGACAATACAAGCACGTTCAAAGTCAGGGGTTATAACTACAACTTTCTAAGTCTAATATTAGCGAGTCGAAGAAAGTCAAGTAAGAACTTTTAAAAAGTCAGTCATAAGAGCCAGCGGTCATTCGAGTAATCAGCGAAAATGGTCGTGCAAACTTGAAAGTATTTTTCTCGCACCGCCACGTATTAGAATTAAATACATTGATTTGAGGTGTTTAATTTTTAGCATTTCCTGGTTCATAGACATCAAAAATAAACGTCTTCCTACTCGAAAGTAACCATAACCACAATGACATCAAACATGTCGGAATTAGCTTCAGCGATCAAAAAGCGAACACATGAACAAACTTTCAAAAGCTACAATGAAAGCAGACGTAATCATAAACTCACCGCTAAGCTCTCACGCCGGGTCGTTTAYCCTTGAAATAATTGTAGGACTGCGTCCATGCCACAGAASTCTCGCCCCGGTGTTTTCTTTTCCATGGGTGCCGATTTTAAATCCAGTACTGCCAGTTGCTTCCGGCTTGATTTCACCCTTGGCAGCCGTGCTAAGCCTGCAGAGAAAAAACTCTGATAATGTAGTAATCCTATTTTTTATGACAGAAAAAATACTAACTGAGAATTACCAAGGAAGTGTAGAAAGCCTTAGTATCCGGTTCATGGGACCAGAGGGTTTATCTTTAGAACTCTGTGGTTAAAACTTGTCGGGACCGCGCCTGGGGCTTCGTTCTGTCAATGAATTCTTGAATTAGAAAGTGAACTACTTGAAAATGTTCACACTTAATTCGTGTTTACATTTATAAAGTGCTGTGAAGTATTGTGGTTTTACAAACGTGAACACYTTTACAACTCAGGCAGTSTCAGAATATCGGGGGTGTTGTGRGCATGCAAGTGGGTTGTATATACTCGACTCTCAGTCAATTAGGAGCGTGTGTATCAGCAGGTTAGAGTATAAACCATCTAAAATCAAATCCTAATCGCAGATTCTACGGCACTCCTCTTCTAAAGCTCACTGTGGAATTGATCCCGTGATGAAAACATGATTTCAAGATCACTGCTTCAAGTTATCAGTCGATTCTAAACGGGACGACTAAGCTGCCAGGTAACACATGCAATTTGAATATATCTTCTAGAACTGCATTTACTTTTATTCGTCATGAGMAAACTTGTCTCTTCAGAAACATTAAATCAATTTTACAAAACGAAAAATTAAAAAATCATTCGTAACATAAMGCGAAACTGTGTTCTCTACGAGTCTTCATAAGAAAACAGACACCAGTTTCAGTTGCATGATTAAAATCACATAAACGAAAATGAAACCTAATCTTAAAAAAAATGAAACAGTTCTCTTCAGGGCTTCAGAATTCATTGGCAAAGTACAAATAATTATTCTTATTTTTCCGGCTCCCTTTCGTTATCCCTTTCATTTCCTTCCTTCTTATTTTCCCTTCCCATTGGTGATATTTTAGTAAATTTCATTCTTATTTCTTCCTTAGTTTTTCTAATTGTGTCCCGTGCTACTATATTTGTTTTAAGAGGGCCCTGAAAAGTGTTCATGGACTTATTCCCTTGTTATTTTAGCCAAATTTCAATCAAATAGGAGTCGAAACCAACATCACACCAAATCAGGTYTTATTTTCTGAAACTGTGAACCGTTTGTTTATTGCTTTGTTTAGTAGGGGTTTGAATTAGTTTCTATACACGAAATCCAATTTGATCTTTCCTTTCTGAAAAAAATAGAAAAATTTGAAAACRCATTTGACTATCCCTAAACTTATGAAACAAATGTATAGATTGAATTTTCTATGTTATAGCTAGAAAAGCTTGATTCATAGATCTATACTACTAGTTAGATATGATCCAAACGGTTTGCCTTTAGACGATACAGCTTTGCTGTCTCAGCAAATAAARAGCGACATGTTGGACATGATCCGTTGTTATCTATCTTCAGTGATCTTCAAGCAATCATCAAAAAGTAACAGCCCATTCACTGTATTAAAACACTGCTGAATAAATACTTTGGACAACAATGTAACATTGTAAGGTACCAATTAACAGTAAATACTCGAATTCAGGACATTTGAAGCGCCACTTTGTCGAAACATCCATTCAATTTTAATACAAAACGATTCAGTGTTGTGTAATGGCAGCTTGAGCAGGGCTTTACTTCAGAGCAAACGCAGCCTTAGTTCGCTTTTGTAACCCTGAATACACTTTAAACAACACCTTTGTGCAGGTAAACGTAGTTTTTAAAAAATATAATAAAACACTATGTAATTATACAGGAAATTTATACTGCGTTTGGTAAAGATACTCCATTAGATAATCATTTGTGAGTACTTATAGCAAAAACAACTTCACTTCTTATAAAGTGCTTGTCTCTTAATTCTGAATTCAAATCACATTTGTGTATTCATCGCCACATTTTCAATTACCTAATTCACCTTGAAATACTTAACTTAACATTGCGAAACACGCTTTATGAACAGAACAATAATAATAATAATAACTATTTGTAAAACAAGAAACAACAGGAAATCGCATGACGTATTGTTTAAACTCATGTAAAGCTGTGTTCATTGATTGAATGACAAAAAGGTCGCTTACTTTTCTAATTTCACATCAACTTGCCGATGCACAAAAACTCATCACGATAAAGTTGTTTAACTCTTGTTTCGAGGTCTCAAGTATCATAACAAAAACGTTTCTTGCTCACAAATATAGTCCTACAGATTGACCAAAAGCCAACGTGTCTTCAGGACGAAGATTTTACTCTTGTTGCTGTAGCTATTGTTGGAAAGAAGCGCCATTTTTCGAGTAGTCTGAGAATCTATAGATTTGTGCKTTCTCCTACAACAAGAAAGTAAAATCTTGCATTTTGAACAAGRAAATAACGTAAGAACTAAATTTAGTAGAAAGTTGGAATCCATAAATAAGGTAAGCTTTTTTTATTTCAGTTTTTCTTTGAGGCAGTATAGTTATTCAGTTTGACTTTTTTGTCGACTTCATTCCCATTATTTCAAACGGTTTAGAAAGAGGTCTGCCTGGTATTAACACGCTACAATTGAATTCTCTCGTTCTGTTCATCTCATCTTTCCTATTAATTCCCATTTTTCCTAAAAGTTTGAACAATGTCTGCCTTCCTTTATCAATAAAAACAGAGACACTAAATCATCCCATTTAGTTCATCTTTCCCATTCCATTTATTCCCTCTCTTTCTAAAAGTTAGCAGAACAATCATCTTTGTTGAAGGTAGTGTCAATTTAAACAGAGACACTGCAMAAGAATCCTCTCTGAATTATCTGCTCGTCATCTTGATAGGGTCAACGTATTAAGACTGTTCGTCCTATTTCTATAATGGCTGGTTAAATACCATTTGTGCGGATCGATTTAGAAAACCAGTAGAGATGAATAATGGATTATGCAASCCTATGACAGCAGRAAAATGGCCGATTCTTGTGTTCGATGGGTAGATGACACTTGGTTAATATGTGTACATAGATCAAGACAAAGCATTGCATCCATTTGATCGTACAAAGTATGTCTTCATAATCCCACCAAACTGACAGCTACTTAACTCTGCTGTTCAAAGCTAACCTCTAATCACCATTAAGATTCGTTTCAAGTAATGTATTTGTTAGACATTCCTATAAACACTAGCAAATAATTCTCTGTCCCATTAAAACCAACCAGCAGCGCTTGTGTCAGGTCCACATCGAACGACACCATTAAACTGTCTAGCATTGTCAAAATCCTTTTATTGAAATTGCATTGATAGTTTGTCAAGGAGTACGTTGAGTAGGTTCTATAAGAATGRAAAGGCTCCATGATACACTTAGTTACTCTTTCTGATTTGAGTGTATGTTAATTATGTTGTAATAAACATCTCTTTTTCCTGCTCCAGCGGTGGAATTGCTATGAATTGCGTAGCTGCAGCTGAACTGCGTCGTACTTCCCTGACAGCAWTCACTTTTCTGTCATTTTCGGTTTTACAACACAATTATATGGCGCCCACTCGGTTAATTTTCAATTTGGTGCCATAGAAAATGTGCTGAGAGGAGTCAAAAGCCTGACACCAGGTTGTGGCATTTCTCTCTCCTTGTAGGAGGGAAATAGGACGTCGTTGACAATCAAAAAACCCTCAAGTGTTCTACTTTCTTCTTTAGGGGTTATGTACAATACTGTGTCACCTTATCTATCGAATGGCTGCGATGATTAAAGGTTCATATCAGATTTAGAGCTACTTTCATTTCTTTGTCAATAGAACAGTCTGTTTGCGCTGTCACTATTGAGAAAAAGAGATCTTGACACGGGGACTTTTCGCATCAAGGGTCAGTAATTGCATCTTRCCATGAAGGAAATCTTTGAATTAATAYCAATATTCAAAGCCCATCGAAGGCAATCTACGAACTTGTCTTGATTATAAGTTCAAACGTTCTTTTTATTGATCGACAGAGATGTCACAAATCCGATTACAGCATCTAAAGTTTACAGATTAGATGGACACGTTTTTCACACGTCTACTCAAAAGAAATATAACTTTAAGTGGTCGGCACTGAATTCATTTTGAATAATGTCGTGTATTGGTCTACAATAGGTCGTGTATTCAGGCACGGYGAATACCGCTAGAAAATGGCTCGGTTTAAGCAGGAATGGGTAAATAATTTTAGAAAAACAACAGCTAAAGTTGCAGACTTATCAACACTCGTACGTTACTTTGGCATTTCCGATTCACAGTTCCAATTTGTTTTGTTGATCTTGTAAAAGTATTGCACTTATCTAAATTATTTTTAAACTCGCAGTGATCAACACCTTGTCGAAGGGCCAATCAGCTGTAGGCCTGTGTTGTGTTAGAGACCCCAACACTTCACTGAGCCCCGCCCAGATATCCGGTGTAATGCCACACACAATTAACCATGAACTGAAGAGTCAAGAATGCCTTTAGTTACTAGTTTCATCAAGCACAGACAAGACCAACAACAGTACCATTCGCAAAGCGAAACGCGCACCAACRCGGCAATGTGTCAACCTCAAGTCCATCCTTTTTCGATTGAAGGAATATTAAGCAAGCACAGAACTGATTACCACGAAAAAAAYATGATTCACAACTGTCATCTTCACTACAAAAACGACAGCAAAAGTGAAAATAAAACACAGGTAAAAGAATACACGATTCAGGCAGAAACCTCTGACGAAGAATCACACCACAACAACATCGCCCAAGACAAAAGTAAGTGCTGTATTGTACGAAGACAATGTCACTTGATTAATCTCGCGTGCTTCAATATGGCTCCGCATTGTATGAAACGATAACCCATCGAAAAAAAATCCCTTTTTATAATTTTCACTTGATAAAGTGATTTAAATGATATTAAAGAAGCATATAATGTGTCAACATTTCAATATTCGCGATAAAATGTGTTYTATTTTCGATGACGTCTTCTCCAAATKTTTCGCTTCCTGCATGACGATTTTTGTCAAGATACACTCGAAGCTTAGAGGACGTTGTACTCGACATAAATGAATCGGCGATAATGGGACTATCGAACTGAACAGAGAAGGCCAAGACGTATTGCTTAAGTTTTTGATGTCCRTTTCCTTCCGCGCTGAAACAAAACAAGATCTTACGTGCTGTATGAGCAGACCATGTTGTAATGCTGTTCTGTGGCTAATTTTRGAAGAAAAAAACGCATGATTTTAACAGATAGTGAGGGTATTCTTRAATTCGAATCTAAAAAAGTTAGAGGCAAATTTTTTCAGGCAATGTTGTAGTGTTCTTTGGCGGTCTTTTAGAAGAAAATAATAAAATAATAAAATAATTTAAGCATGGTGAAATTAGAAAAAGTGTTATAGTCAGATCAAAGAATGTTTTAAAAAGCAAATAATTTAGACACTTCTTCATGACTGAACTTCTYCTTGAAGTTAAAAGAGATGGTTGTATTCTGCAGGGAACCACAAGAGAAAACAATGCTTCATAGCTAGTGTACATGTACGCTGCCACGCTTTTGTATTAGCGTTGGTTTTGAAGACGTGCTTTCATGAATACCCGCCCTATAACCGCTAATAAGATGAAATAATCGAAAAGTATACATCGTCACTAAAGAGTCCACTGAATAAGCCTGAAATGTTCTGTTAAGTGAACCTAACTTTATTTGCTTAAATAAACATGGTCTTCTTGCAAATGAACTAGAGTCGAAAGCAAGTGAGAAAAAAGAATGGACTTTTAACATTTTAAAAGAGGATATGGCGATGTTTCTTTGCATCCGGGATTACTAAAGAGTGACTACCTAGTCGCCATGAACCGATCAACTTGTAAYATCAAAGACTAAAGACGCTCGCATTTTTAAACAATCCTAAGTCAATCGATMGCGAGTCTGTGCGCACTCGTTTCATACCGRCCAGACTTTTCGAGTATCTTAAATTTGAATTTGATGATCTTCAAAGATTGTCGAGGACCCTTTGATACCTCTTATCACAAGAGTMCTTTTACTCAAGCATTTTGAACATCACTCAGTTAGTTAAAACATCGACATATCAACAAGTTGAGCGACTATCTAGAGACGGAATACACAAACTAGGTTATTCAGTAATGAAAGTGGTTCAYTAAACGTTGAATTCCTCATGACTCGTGACGCATAGTAGAGAAGGCTTTGTGGTATCGACTGTGTATATAGGTAGTACATATACCGACTGTCCTATATAGAAGTGTGCTATTAAGAAATCAATATTCATTTGAATCAGGCATGGTTAGCTAGTAGTAATAAGGCTATTGATGTAAAATTATTAGCTAGTAGTAATAAGGCTATTGATGTGAAATTATTATCCAAAAATAGGCAGCTGCTGTCAACACAGCTTTTTTCTTGCTTGATACACTGGAAAAAAAGTTTGTTACTGATAACCAATAGATGAAGAAATGACTGGATTTTGAAGTATCAATAAAAAACCGCAGTTTTAACGCTTTCATGCCTATAAATTTTCCGTACTGGAGACGAAGGATACTAAAATGGACCTCTTAAGTTCAAACATTCGCCTTTTAAAAACAAAGATAATTATCTCAATCGCAAGTGTAGTGTATTCAKTGGTTTGTTCTTTCAATAAAAGTCGGCTTTTGATCTAAGCRTTAGCTAAGGCATTTTTCAACCGTGTGTGCATTTTTCATGGACTGAACGCAAYAGAACGATGACTCTTGTCTAGATATACATGACAGCAGCTGATACGTTAGGTAAACTGGGTKTACATTAGGTACGGTGTGTATCGTAATTTGTAAATAACTTAGTATAGGCTAAAACTATAACTGAATAAATTTATTTCGCCAATACTGGACTGGCGTCAATAACAGAAGTGATGTAAATGATTATYTCTGAGTCATCCTGATTGAACTCTACAATACTGATAAGGAATGCAGTAAAGAATTCACGCGCTGTTATTTTAGCGGCACTGGCACCAGAGTGGCTCTTTGATGTGGTTRTATTAACATTTATTCTCCCTTATCCTCAGAAAATACCGAGACAGATGATGAATTAAGCTTAGATGTTGAAAACCTGAACCACTCGGATCAAGAATCKTGCGACARCCAAAAGAAAGCCGAAGGAAGGAAAAAGAAACGAATCCTATTTACCAGATCACAGATTTACGAACTAGAGAGACGATTTCGCGTGCAACAATATCTCTCGGCACCCGAGAGGGAACACCTCGCCCGAATGATAAGYTTAACGCCAATGCAGGTCAAAATATGGTTTCAAAATCATCGTTACAAGTGTAGACAACGTTTTAAACAGAACTCAAAYACAGCTGAAAGAGAATTTGACATTGATCAAGGACTTTCACAGGCGTATACAAAATCTTACCAGGATTTAGCGGGAATTGCAAGACATTACCACCACACTTACCCAACTTTGCCTTGGGGTGTTCACACTTTCCCAGGAAGAATCCTACAAGACCTGAGAATAAGTAGAGGAGTTTTTACCACTGCACCACTAAACAGCCATTATCCTATTTGTCCACACCCTCTTTAGAACTCCAAAAAACTATATTATATTGCTGTAAAATCTTTAAACCTTCCCAGTGTGAGACTGCTATATTTACCAAATTTAAAAACCACTGATTGTCAAATTTCAAAGCTGGATAACATAGATTAAAATTAGAGAATCTGAGACCGCATTGTTCTATAAAAAAAACTGAATGTCGAATACTTATAATGATTTTCGAATTCTAATAAGCACACATATTACAAAATAGTTTTACTATGTTCGCTTTCTAGGCATGTTTAGGAAACTTTATTGTCATATGAAAGGTGTTTAGCAACTTCTAATATTCATGCACGTTTTGGATTGTTCACAACTAGGAAGTGTAAGCTGACAATATTTAATATTTCCTATTAAGTTACTATTTTAAGGAATTATAATTGTAATGAGACCGTTTCCTAAGTAATTGCCTTTCTTTAATAGTCCATAGTCAAATGCCGAACTTAATTCATCAAACTTAATAGTCGACTTTAAATATTTTGGTTGAGTAATCATACATAAAAGAATGCAAAAGAGGCTCTGGGGAAACAATGGATAACCTATTGTATACTTTTATTTCCAGGGAGTCTACTATTCTTTTGTACATGGTCACTGAACCAAAATATTTAAAGTCAGCTATTCTGTTCAAATGTGTTTTTATAATCAAGCTTAATTCAGGAGCTGCTTGGAAAGGTAAAATGTTTAGGACCAAATAGTAGTTAAAAGTAAAAACTATGTCTTTTTTAYGGCTATCAGCTATAAATTTAAGAAATTAAATAAAAGTATAAAATTCAAAGTTGTAAATAGTGCAAGAGAAGTGGAGCTAAAACTGTTGTTCAACTGCAAACAAGCTTGAATGCAAATGAATTTAGTACTACAAATTTGAGTAAGTTTGGCATTTGACCAACGTCTCAACCTTCTTTTACCATAACCTTTATATTGTTTATGGTCCCAGCTTTTATAATCTATATGATTAATGATCTCCTTTAAACATATCATCCTATCATCAATACTTGGTTTGTAAGGACAAAGATTGACAGCATGTATACACCTACTTGCAGAAACGTTGTCATTGAAAATTGAACATTTGAATTTAGTAAAAAGGATAAATCAAAACAAGACAAAAGAAAGCATGCAGCCTCAGTGACCTTCTTTTGTCTTTTTTAATTTATTCTTTTTTACTAAATACAAATGCTGTATTTTCTATGACAACGTTTCTGCAAGTAGGTGTATTTATACTGTGATTTAACTTAATTTTCCAACATTACATTGATATATCAAGGGCATAAAATAATGAAGGAAATGAAATCGCTAGTCATCTTTGTCCAGTCAGTTCCATTGCATAATGGGCATAAATAACTCCTACCCTTAGGTAAAAATATTGATAACAAACAAAAAACAATGATGATTAATAAGTGAGGAAATAATTTATGCTGAATAATACAGTAGAGTGGACATACTAAATCCGTGAAACAAATAGTACTAATTAATAATAAATAGTGTTAATTAGACAATAAAATACAAAGGAGTTCAGATTATTTAAAATTATTATATACTATTTAACTTTCAYGGATTAAGTGAGTTCACTCTACCAGAAGCAAATCTAATGTCTTTTTAATAGATATTGAAATAATTAAAAGTTTTTTTTATATAATTTGGTTAATAAGTTGATTAGATCAAGAAAAAAGTAGTTGATAGGGAATGGCARAGGGTGATAGGGAATGGCGGAGGATGACAGGGGCTGATGGACAAAAATATGGACTGATGGGCATTGCTATGGACTTATGAAGGCCGATAGAGGTGGATGGAAGGTGATCGAGGATGATGGAGGATGATAGGGACTGATGTGGCAATGATAGAGACAAATGGAGGTTGCTACAATCCTGGACAAAAAGAGTCGAGACTGTTTTAAAATRCTGAATGTTGGAATGTCTCTGTATACTTTTTAATTTTTTCTGCCCTTACCCCGCCCCCCTTCACTCAAAGTTGGACTTTAGAGAGCACACATACCTGCTGGATTCTGTTTGAGTGCTAACAACACTGTTTTGGGAGAAGGGAGGGAGTAGACAGCATGTTTTGTTGAACTGACCTGAAGGGAGCAGTTATTCTCAACCTTTTTGTCCAGATGGGGGTTGCTAGGGGCNGCCGATGGATGATGACAGGGACTGATGGAGGCTGACAAGGGCGGATTGAGGGGATAGAGGTCGATGGTTGATGACAGGGGCTGATGGAGGCTGACAGGGGCGGATAGAAGGTGATAGAGGCTGATGGATGATGACAGGGGCTGAAGGAGGCTGACAAGGGCAGATTGAAGGTGATAGAGGCCGATGGATGATTGCAGGGACTGATGGAGGCTGACAGGGGCAGATTGAAGGTGAAAGAGGTTGATGGATGATGGCAGGGACTGATGGAGGCTGACAAGGGCAGATTGAAGGTGAAAGAGGTCGATGGATGATGGCAGGGACTGATGGAGGCTTACAGGGGCGGATAGAAGGTGATAGAGGCTGATGGATGATGACAGGGGATGATGGAGGCTGACAGGGGCGGATAGAAGGTAACAGAGGGTGATAGAGGACGACAGGTGCTGATGGACAATGATAGGGACTTATGGAGGGTGAAAGAGCTGTTGGAGGGTGATGTGGCTGATGGAGGATGCACTTGCATGTATAGCCATGAGTTTATAGAGGTTCAAGGACTTAGACCATTTGGTGCCAATGGAGTATGACCAGAACTAAGAGATAGTATGCAGGGCAACAAAAGCTTGGGGAGTATGATAAATGCTGGTGGTGAATAGCAGCAAGCATTGATTTGGCAAATGGCAGGGGATGRTGGAAAGTGAAAGACATTGATGGTGGAAGACAGGCACTTATGAAGAGTGGTTATGTCCTGCACTGTGGTGATCTTTGATGTAAGTGAAATAAACAATCTAGATGTGATTGAATGAAACCATGACCTCTTCAATGCCATTGCAGTGCTCAATTGAGTTAAACAACATT